TTTGTAAAATCAGTGTTTGATTGCACTGAAATTCACCAAAGTCATACATATTGACCACCAAAATCATATATATTGACCTTCCCCCACTACTTCTTTGGAGCAACTTCTCAGAGCTATCTGAGGTGCCATCTCCCTGGCTGAAGTTCTCATTTTGCCCCAAATAAAACTTAACTCATGACTCTCACGTTGTGCATCATTTTTTTTTTTTTTTAGTTGACAGGAAAATGTATTTAACTGCCAAACAACTATGAGGTAGCCTTAGAAACAGCTACCTCTGATTTCTTCTAAAAAAATGAACAAAGAGTAAATCGGGGAAGCTCAAGGCTCCTAAAGGGTTATTATTGGATGAATCCCGTATAAAACAGACATGTAGGGAAGATACTCAGCTGTGATTTTTCCCACTGCTATTGTGTTGATAAGTATAACATGAACTCAGGAAAGTCATCAGAATTGCCATTACAGGGGAGATTTGGAGGAAGGGAATGGGATTTCATTTCACTTGACTCTGCAGTGTTACAGTCTAAGTAAATGCAAGAATAACCATATCTGTTGGATACTCAATAGCTATTATATTTTGTCCTATCAAATTCCTTGTTTAAAAGATCCTTTCATTACTATAAAAGCAATACATACTTATAAAACATAGAAAATGCAAAAAATATAAAGGAAAGAACTCTTGCATAATCTAACCATTTTACTACTACCGAGAGACAAACACTGTTGATATTTTAATGCATCTATATTATAATGCTATTATTTTAATTCATATTTTAATTAAAATATAGTTGAATTACAGAATTTTGTTGTTTTCTGTCAAACCTCAAATGAATCAGCCATAGGTATACATATGTCCCCTCCCTTTTGAACCTCCCTCGCATCTCCCTCCCTATCCCACTCCGCTAGGTTGGTACAGAGCCCCTGTTTGAGTTTCCTGAGACATACAGCAAATTCCCATTGGTTATCTATTTTACATATGGTAATATATATTTCCATGTTACTCTCTATATACATTTCACCCTCTCCTCCCCTTTTCTTGTGTCCGTAAGTCTGTTCTGTATGTCTGTATCTACACTGCCCTGAAAATAAATTCTTCAGTACTCTCCTTCTAGATTCCATATATATGTGTTTGTATACAATATTTATCTTTCTCTTTCTGACTTACTTCACTCTGTATAGTAGGATCTAGGTTAATTCACCTCATTAGAACTGACTCAAATGTGTTCCTTCTTATGGCTGAGTAATATTCCATTGTGTATATGTACCACAACTTCTTTATCCATTCATCTGTCAATGGACATTTAGGTTTCTTCCATGTTCTAGCTATTGTAAATAGTGCTGCAGTGAACATTGTGGTACAGGTGTTTTTTTCAGTTGGTTTCCTCAGGGTATTTGACTAGGGGTGGAATAGCTGGGTAATATAGTGGTTTGATTCCTAGTTTTTCAAGGAATCTCCATACCATCTTCCATAGTGGCTGTATTAATTTACATTCCCACCAACAGTGCAAGAGGGTTCCCTTTCTACACACCCTCTCCAGCATTTATTGCTTGTAGGTTTTTTGATGATGGCCATTCTGACCAGTGTGAGATTATATCTCATTGTAGTTTTGATTTGCATTTCTCTAACAATAAGTGATGTTGAGCATCTTATCATGTTTTTGCTAGCCATCTGTATGTCTTTGGAAAAACGTCTGCTTAGGTCTTTCCCCCACTTTTTGACTGGGTTATTTGTTTTCCTGGTATTGAGCTGTATGAACTGCTTCTATATTTTGGAAATTAATCCTTTGTCAGTTGTTTCATTTGCTATTATTTTCTCCCATTCTGAGGGTTGTCTTTTCACTTTGATTATAGTTATCTTTGCTGTGCAAGAGCCTTTAAGTTTAATTAGGTTCCACTTGTTTACTTTTTTAAAAATTTCCATTACTCTAGAAGGTGGGTTATAGAGTATCTTGCTTTGATTTATGCCATTGAGTGCTCTGCCAATGTTTTCCTACAATAGTTTTATAGTTTCTGGACTTACATTGAGGTCTTTAATCCATTTTGAGTTTATCTTTGTGTATGGTGTCAGGAAGTGTTCTAATTTCATTCTTTTACATGTAGCTGTCCAGTTTTCCCAGCACCATTTATTAAAGAGGCTGTCTTTGCCCCATTGTATATTCTTGCCTCCTTTGTCAAAAATAAGGTGCCCATACGTGCATGGGATTATTTTGGGCTTTCTATCTTGTTCCATTTGTCTATATTTCTGTCTTTGTGCCAGTACCATACTGTCTTGATGACTGTAGCTTTGTAGTATAATCTGAAGTCAGGAAGGTTGATTCCTCCAGCTCCATTCTTCTTTCTAAAGACTGCTTTGGCTATTCGGGGTCTTTTGAGTTTCCATATGAATTGTGAATTTTTTTGTTCTAGTTTTGTGAAAAATAACATTTGCAATTTGATGGGGATTGCATTGAATCTCTAGATTGCATTTGGTACTATAGTCATTTTCACAACATTGATTCTTCCTACCCAAGAACATGGAATACCTTTCCATCTGTTTATGTCACCTTGGTTTCTTTCATTAGTGTCATAATTTTCTGTGTACAGTTCTTTTGTCTACTTAGGTAGGTTTATTCCTAGATATTTGTTTCTTTTTGTTGCAATGGTGAATGGAATTGATTCCTTACTTGTTTTTCTGATTTTGCATTGTTAGTATATAGGAATGCAGTGATTTCTGTGTATTGATTTTGCATCCTGCAACTTTGCTAAATTCACTGATTAGTTCTAGTTCTTCTGATAGTACCTTCAGAGTTTTCTTTGTATAGTATCATGTGATTTGCAAACAGTGAGAGCTTTACTTCTTTTCTGATCTGGATTCCTTTTATTTCTTTTTCTACTCTGATTGCTGTATCTAGGAATTCCAAAACTATTTTGAATAATAGCAGTGAGAGTTGACACTCTTATCTTGTTCCTCATCTTAGGGGGAATGCTTGCAGTTTTTCAACATTGAGAATAATGTTTGCTGTGGTCTTATCATATATGGACTTAACTATGTTGAGGTAGTTTCCTTCTATGCCCATTTTTTGAAGAGCTTTAATCATAAATGGGTGCTGAATTTTGTCAAAGGCATTTTCTGCATCTATTATGATTATCATATGGTTTTTATCTTACAATTTGTTAATACGGTTTATCACATTGATTGGCTTGCATATATTGAAGAATCCTTGCATTCCTGGAATAAACCCAACTTGATAATGATGTATGAGCTTTTGATTGTGTTGTTGAATTCTACTTGGTACAATTTTGTTGAGGATTTTCGCATCTATGTTCATCAGTGATATTGGCCTGTAGTTTTGTTTTTTATTTATTTATTTTTGTGTTTTTCTGGTTTTGGTAAATGGGTGATGGTGGCCTCATAGAATGAGTTTGGAAGTGTTCCTTCCTCTGAAATTCCTTGAAAGAGTTTTAGAAGGATAGGCATTAGCTCTTCTCTAAATGTTGGAGAGAATTCTCCTTTGAAGCTATCTGGTCCTGGGCTTTTGCTTTTGGGATATTTTTGATCACATTTTCAATATCAGTGCTTGTGATTGGGTTGTTCATAATTTCTATTTCTTCCTGGCTCACTCTTGGAAGATTGATCTTTTCTAAGAATCTGTCCATTTTTTCCAGGTTATCCATTTTATTGCCATATAGTCATTCATAATTGTCTCATAACCCTTTGCATTTATGCACTGTCTATTGTAATGTCTCCATTTTCTAATTTTGTTAATTTGGTTCTTCTCCCTTTGTTTCTTAATGAGTCTTGCTAATGGTTTGTCAATTTTGTTTATCTTCACAAAGAACCAGCTTTTAGTTTTATTAATCTGTACTATTTTTTTTTCATTTCTTTTTTATTTATTTCTGCTTGGATTTTTATGATTTCTTTCCTTCTGCTAATTTTTTTGTTCTTTTTCCAGTTGTTTTAGGTGTAAAGTTAGGTGTTCTATTCAATGTTTTTCTTGTTTCTTGAGGTAGGATTGTATTACTATAAACTTCTCTCTTAGAATTGCCTTTTCTGCATCCCATAGATTTTGAGTTGTCGTGTTTTCATTGTCATTTGTTTCTAGAATATTTTTATTTCCCTTTTGATTTCTTCAGTAACCTGTTTGTTATTTAGAAACATGTTGCTTAATCTCCATGTGCTTGTGCTTTTTACAATTTTTTTCTTGTAATTGATATCTAGTCTCATAGTGTTGTGCTCAGAAAAGATGCTGATAACAACTTTAATTTTCTTAAATTTACTGAGAAATTTCTTAAATTTACAATTTTCTTAAATTTTCAATTTTCTTATATTTACTTAAATTTACATAAATTTCTTAAATTTGCTGTAGTTTGATTTATGACCCAAGATGTGGTCTATCCTGGAGAATGTTCCATGTGCACTTGAGAAAGAAGGTGTATTATTCTGTATTTGGATGGGATGTTCTGAAGATATCAATGAGATCCATCTCATCTGATGCATCATTTAAGACTTGTGTTTCATTAGTGATTTTCTGTTTTGATGATCTGTCCATTGGTGTAAGTGGGGTGTTAAAGTCTCCTACTATTATTGTTTTACTGTCAATTTCTTTTATGTCTGTTAGTGTTTGTCTGATTATATATTGAGGTATTCCTATTTTGAGTGCTTAGATATTTACATTTGTTATATCTTCCTCTTGGATTGATTCCTTGATCATTATGTAGTGTTCTTCCTTATCTCTTGTAACATTCTTAATTTTATTATATTATTTTTTTTTTCGTGACTCATCAAAGTTTATTACGGCAATTAATTGGACAAACATACCAGCGATCGCTCATCCAGTACAGGAGTGCTCAAACCAGTAGAGTCCATTAGTGATTTCTCTGTATAAATAACATGAGAAGCAAGCAGAACTGGTCAGAGACCAATGGGGCTGACTGAGCATCTCATCGCAAACACCCACTGATGGCACGCAGGCCAGGTGGGGCAGGGCAGGGCGGGAGGGGCAGGCACCAGAAGGTCGAGTTTCCTCTTTGGCCCCCAGCACCCCAGGCCCACCGGGTGCTGGGTACTCGGGTAATGGACAATTCAAGGCACATATGACTTCCTAACAGATAGCAGCTCCAGAGTCTGCCCTTGAGACCTGGTTCACATCTGGTAACAACCAAGGTAATTCTCCATTCATCACAACCCCCTTTGGTCTATTGTCATTTTTATTACTGAACTGGGTGCTGAAAGCCCCCAGCGTGGTGGGGGCTGTGTGTGGCTCAAAGTCACAGTCTCTGCCCTTTACATTCTGAAGATAAGAGAGATGCAAAGAAATGACTCCGACATAGTGATGGTGTTTTACAAAGCACCACAGGGGAAGTAACTGTTAGGGCATATTTTGATGTCTCTTAGGAGGGTTTTAGGGGCTTGTGAAGAGTTACAGGAGAGAGTCAAAGGAAGGGAGGGGGCTGCTGTGGATGAGATTCAAGGCACTAAAGGAGTGGACGGGATGGGGGTGAGCCACAGAAGTCAACCAGAAGCAGGGAGACCCCAGACAAGAGGTGGCCGGGGAGGCAACCTGGCCTTCCGCTCCTAAATGAGCCCCTGATGTGACCACAGTCTTCTGGACCAGAACTGCCTCCGCTCCTCCAGCCAGAGGGTCCAAGGCAGCTCCTGGATTCTCCAACCAGGGCCAGCAAGGTCTGGGATCCGCCTCCACAATCCTTGGCTTGCTCCCTGCACGGGCACTGCTGCTGTTGTTCAAACGGCAGCACACAGGACAAGCTGACCTGACATCAGTCTGTCAGAGTCCTGTTATGGCTTTATGAGTGACGTAAAAATCACTCTTTGTTTTGCCTAACTCTGTTCTCTCCCCCTGATCCAACTCTGCCATGGAGCGTGCGGTGTGAACGCACCAAGAGACACAGAGAGCTGCCTCTCTTGGCGTGGGCACCGTGGTTGCACTTGCTAAATCCCAGAGAAGAGGGAGGGGGTGAGCAGGGGCCAGCCAGCCCTTCGCTGAGATAACTCCTCACTGGGTTCGGGCGTCCTTGAGTCCGTGAGTGAGTGCAGTCACGAGGAGACGTCCACAGGTGTGGGCACCCACGGGAAGGACTGAACGCCCTGCTTGGTGTGCACCAGGAAAGCGAGAGCCAGCCACAGGAGCCAGGCGCTCCTTCCCCTGGGAGGCCCGCAGGCCTTGGGACCACCGGTGCAGCCGAGCCAGTCACGCTGCCGGCCAGCCCTCCCAGGCCTGTGCGCTCCCAGCGGGGCCCCTCAGGCTCCCGGGCGCGACCCAAGTCTGTGGGCAGCCAACTCCACTTCCCATTAGCCTCGAGTCTCAGCAAGGGGTGGGCTGAAGGTTGTGGTACAGGTGGGAGCAGGCAAGGGCCGAGGGCCAGGACTATGCCTAATAGCCAGGCCAGGTGGGGCCCTGAGGAGGGGGGAACCCATAGGGAGGAGCGGGCCCGGGGGGGTAGGGCGGCTGGAGGGGGCCTGAGTGCTGGGGCTGTGTGGGGTACGGAGGTTTTCCTCCTGTGGAGAGGTAGGGGGGCTGCTGCGGATAACCAGGACTGGGGGCCTGGCCCCCCATCACGGGGTACGCAGGCCCAGAGGCACCAGTGGGGGCCACGGGATAGCCCGGCCGGGGCGGCATGCTCCTCTGTGGGGACCAGGAGTAGCCCGAAGGGGCTCTGGCTCCCGGCTGGGCTGTGGGGTAGGGGGGCCCCAGAGGCCCACTGTAGGAAAACGAGGGCTGGGACACCACGGGGAAGGGGGCCGGCTGGAGCGCTCCTTGGGCGGTGGGGCCCACGGGCATGCCTGGAGAGGGGCTGTAGGGCAAAGGGTAGGGAGGGACCACTGAAGGCTGCGGTGGCTGTGGCTGAGCGTCTTCGGCTGGCGGGGGCGTCGCCTGGGGGTCGGGGCGCAGTGGCGGGGGTGGGCGGGGAGGTGGGATGTCCCCGGCTGGCTCCAGGGAGGCCCTGGGCTTTCTCATCACATCCTGGAGCTTCTCCACGCGAACCCGGCGCAGATGTGACAGTGTTCTCATGGAGGAGAAATTCTCCAGGAACGTGTCCAGGGGCACCTCGCCCTCCAGGAACTTCTCAGCCATGGCCTCGGACTCTTCTTCAGTCTTCATGCTTTCAATCTGCAGAAGGTCCAACAAGGTCCCTAGCTGCAGTGCTGAGGAGAACTTCTCCAGCTTCGCCTTCTGCTCCTGGCACCACTCCACCAGCTTCCGGAGCTCCTGGTACTTGTCCGAGAGGTTTGAGCGGCTGATCTCCAGCGGACCCTGAACTCCAGGTTCCGCTCGGCCAGGCTCCGGTTGGTGGCCAGCGCCATCTCCCGCTCCAGCTGCAGATCCTGGACCTCCGGGGAGTCCTGGACCAGTCCGTCGATGGCCTCCGGGTCGTTCTACATCTCCTCCAGCTCCTCCAGGGTCTTGTCTTTTAGCGTTTCCATCTTCCCCCAAGCTGCCTCCGCAGCCGCCACAGTCGTCGCGGGGTTAAATCGCCAACATTCTTAATTTTAATGTCTACTTTGTTTGATATGAGGGTTGCTACTCCAACTTTCTTTTGCTTTCTATTTGCATGGAATATATTTTTCCATCCTCTCACTTCCAATCTATATGTGTCTTTAAGTCTGAAGTGGGTTTTTTTTTGTATAAAGCATATATTCAGCCAGTCTGTGTCTTTTGCTTGGAGCATTTAATGCATTTACATTTAAAGGAAACCTATTGCCATTTTCTTAATTGTTTGGAGTTGATTTCATAGATCTTTTCCTTCTCTTGTATTTCTTAACTATATAAGTCCCCTTAACATTTGTTGTAAAGCTGGTTTTGTGGTACTGAATTCTCTTAACTTTTGCTTGTCTGAAAAGCTTTTTGTTTCTCCATTAATTTTGAATGAGATCCTTGCCAGGTAGAGTAATCTTGGTTGTTGATTTTTCCCTTTCAGTACTTTAAATATATCCTGCCATTCCCTTCTGGTCTGCAGTGTTTCTGCTGAAAGATCCACTGTTAAGTGTATGGGGCTTCCCCTGTATGTTACTTGTTGCTTTTCTCTTGCTGATTTTAATATTCTTTCTTTGTGTTTAATCTTAATTATTTGTATTAATATGTGTCTTAGCGTGTTTCTCTTTGGGTTTGTCCTGTATGGGACTCTTTACACCTCTTGGACTTGATTGACTATTTCCTTTTACATGTTGGGAGAATTTTCAAGTATAGTCTCTTCAAAAATTTTCTCATACCTTTTCTTTTTTCTCTTCTTCTTCTGGGACCCCTATAATTCATATGTTGGTCTGTGTAGTATTGTTGCAGAGGTCTCTGAGACTATCCTCAGCTCCTTCCATTCTTTTTACTTTATTATTCTCTTAAGTAGTTATTTCCACCATTTTATCTTCATCTCACAGATATTCTGCTATTGATTCATTCTAGAGTATTTTCAGTTTCAGTAATTGTGTTGTTTGTCTCTGTATGCTTATTCTTTAATTCTTGCATTTCCTCCATTCTATTTTCAAGGTTTTTGTTCAGCTTCACTATAATTATTCTGAATTATTTTCCAGGTAGTTTGTCTATTTCCTCTTCATTTATTTGGACTTGTGTATATAGTTTGTTCCTTCATTTGTGCAGTATTTCTCTGCTTTTTCATTATTTTTTTTAACTTATTGTGTTTGAAGTCTCCTTTTCCCAGGCTTCAAAGTTGAATTCTTTCTTCCTTTTGATTTCTGCCCCCATAAAGCTTGGTTTAGTGGTTTCTGTAAGCTTCACGTAAGGTGAGACTTGTGCTGAGTTTTTTTTTTTCCCCTATGATAGGCTGAGTGAGGTGGTAATCCTGTCTGCTGATGATTTGGTTTGTATTTTTGTCTTGTTTTTTGTTTTGATGAGGTGTCCTGCACAGGGTGCTCCTGCCAGCTGGATAATGACAGGTCTTGTATACAAGTGGTTGCCTTTGTGGGAGTTCTCACTATTTGATACTTCCTAGGGTTAGGTGTCCTCTGGTAGTCTGGGGTGTTGGAGTCAGCGCTCCCATTGCAAGGTCTAAGGGCTTCATCTCTGGCCAGGAACAGAGATCCCACAGGTGGTTTGTTATTAGATGGGGTTAATACAAGTACCCAGAAATGAGAAACCAAAGATGAACTCCAGACAAATTTCAGTTACAAAATTAGGTAAATAATCATTAAAATAATGGAATATACACACATATATACATAAAACACATAAGCAAATTCAAACAGTCCAATAAAAATAAAGATTGACATGGCAAACAAAGGAAATCAAAAATTATATCCACAAGTTAAGAACAAAACTAACTAAAGCACAATTTAGAAAACAAAATTAAAGCAAGGTGCCAACTGGGGAATAAAGCAATGAAAACAAAAGCAATAAATATGGTGAGAAAAAGATAAGAAAGACTAGAAATGCAAAATTAAATAGAGGTAGACAAAGAAGACATATATGATAAAGATTAGCTTCAATGCAAAAAAAAAAAAAAAAAAAAAAACCAGCAGGAAAAGCGAACAAAGGAATAAATGTAGAAAAAATAATAAGTTTAAAAATTTAGCATTTAAAATTAAAAAAAAAAGAGAAGAAAAATAAACAGGAGGAAAAAAAGAAGAAAAAAAAAGAAAAGAAGAGGAAACCTCCACAGAACTGCAAAAAGTCACCCTAGAGGCAGAGGTAGAGAGGGAGGTGGGAGGGGGGATCGGGATGGGAAATACATGTAAATCCATGGCTGATTCATGTCAATGTATGACAAAAACCACTACAATATTGTAAAGTAATTAGCCTCCAATTAATAAAAATTAATGGGAAAAAAATAAATAAATAGATGATGTTGGGAAAGTGGAATAGCTAAAAAAAAGCAAAGAAAAGAAAATGGCGCGTATTGATATACCAGGATAATTGCAGTGAAAAATCTACAAATTTAGGCTTATGTTTAGGTTAAGAGTGAAATCCATGAAAGTGCTAATTCTCTGATGGCGAGTGTAAGCGCTGCTACCATGGGAGATGACACTTCATTCTAAAG